ACCATAGTTAAAGCAAGACTGTAATGAGATATTCTTTTGCTTATTACTTATATACTTTTACTTATATATTGTATGTATTACTTATAATATTTATATTACTTATATATTATTTATATTGCTTATATATTACTTATATTATTTATATATTGCTTATATATTGTTTATATTGCTTATATATTGCTTATATTGCTTATATTACTTATTTTACTTATATTACTTATATACTTTTGCTTATATTACTTATATTACTCATATTACTTATATATTTTTGCTTATTATTGCTTGAGCTCCCTGCATTCCTATAAGAAAAGGAAAAGTGTAACTAAGTTCAGGCTTTATTTCAGTATTCTCAACTTTTAAAGGAAAACCTTAGAAAGAGGTAACATTAAGCTTAGCGGGGCAGTTTCTACTAACGTCCCTGATTTGTCCACACACATAACATGATTGCACTGAAACACTTTTTTGTTTACCTGCGCCCTGCATACCTTGAGTGATCTGTGAAAAGTTTCTCCCTTCAATGCTGCGGCCAAAGCCATCCCTTGCATAATAGCTAGGCTTACGTCCACGCACTGGCGGATAAAATCAATAACCCGTCCAGTTTTGCGTATGGGTCGAAGCAAAGTATTATTAGCATTTTTAAAAGCCAATTGTTTGATAAGAATTTCTGCTGCTTCTTCATTAGTAATCACCCAATTAACAGCCATAGTACATCTGGAAACAAAGTCCTTATAACTTTCCTCAGTCTTTTGTTTTATATTAGATAAAGAAGAAGTCTGAGCAGTGTCTGCCAGTAATTTTTTCCACGTGGTGACAGCACAATGATTTATCTGAAGCAAAACATCTTTGGGTAGAGAAATTTGATTAGCCATTTAGGTATACATACAAGTCCCAGAGAGCATATCATGAGAAATAATGAATGACCCAGCAGGTCGATTTAAATTCTGGTCCATTTGAATTCTAACTTGATCCTCATACTCGGTTTTCCACAGCAAATAATCACCTCCGGACAAACAGCTTTTGGTTAATTGCTGCCAATCTGTGAGAGTCATCCATCAAGAGACAAATTGATCTAAAATAGTAATTGTATAAGGTGCAAGAGGACCATACTTTGAGCTTGCCTCCTGTAACTCTCTTACCAATTTATACAACAAGGGTTCCCAGTGAGCTCGATCCACTCCATCAGCACTGGGATAAAGTTGTATCAGGAAACAAGCTGTGAAACTAAAATCTCCTTCTTTTTTCTGTTTCAGCTCATACTGCCTGCATGCTGAGAGGAAAGACAGGAGCCACAGGGGCATTACTGGCATTATTAGGCAAATTTTTTGGCTTTAGGACTTTAGCATTGAAAGGAGCAGCCTGTAGGAAGGAAGGTGCAGGGTTGGCCATAAGATCACTGATATGATATCTATCAGCTTCTGCCTCGGGTTCAGCTTCATCCTGTGGAGATAATTTATCATTGTCATTATAATCAGGGGGAGCTGAGGCTGCAGCAAAGAGAAAAGTTTCTTCATCATCATCATCATTAGCGGCCTTTTTGGAAGGAAATTTCTCATAATCATTCTGTGGATTTAAAGCATTTTTAATTAACATTGTTACTGCACAAAATGTAGAAAATGAGCTAGATTATAAGAAGAAGCTTTAGCTCCATGTTTAGACAAAGTTTTCATTAAGATACTGATGAATATTTTACATTCCTAGATTCGCTCTGGCCCATGATTAGATCACAGCTCTGGCTTCACAAAAACTTGCTTACCCATCCTCCCTCTGCCTGTCTCTACAGAGGGATCTGCAGCACCCTGGGTAAGATCCTAGCTGCCCTGAAATGAGAAAAAGACTTACCTTTCCACGGGTCCCACAACATTGGGTGCCATTTACGGGGGGCCATTTATGGGGGGCCAGCCCCTTCAGAGAGATTTAGAGGGTCCCTGGAAGGTGGGGCAGTGTTGGTGATTATTCTGGAGAAATAAAGAGAAAGAAAGAGAAAGGGGGAGAAAGAAAGATACTGGACTCTGTCTAGTGCAGAAGCCGATTCTGTAGTAGGGATAGATATTGAAAGAAAGATGGAGGGATAGATATAAAGAGAACGAAAGAAAGTGGACAACTGTTCAGTGAAATGAGCAGAAGTCATTTATTGGGACCAGCCATGAGTCTTTTATCCCAAATTTTCTCATGTTAAATCATAAGACTTTCACGTGAACACAAGGCCAGGTGAATGAGGTGCATCCCCCCACCCACCAGGTGTTTCCTTAAGCATGAGGAAGGACAATCCCAATTAAATCACAAGACTTTCACGTGAACACAAAGCCAGGTAGGTGAGGAGCGTCCCCCACCCACCAGGCATTTTCCCAAGCATGAGGAAGGACAATCCCAAAATTATCTCACTGTTCCTCATGCTTGGTTAATGTACCTCACAAACAATACAACAATTCTAACATCATAATGTTCTAATAATCAATAACTTCTAAAACTTATGCATTCCCAACACCTAATGACTGACTTAAATCCTAATACCTTTCTATTCTGTGCTAATTTTACCTGTACTATAAAAAACTCTTAATTATAGCTCAAATCAGTTCCTAAAGAATGTGGCCCAGTCCAAAGATCACGTTGGGCCATTTCCAGGAACAATTGATTATAATCTCTTAACAAAAATGGCTATTCTCAAATCCTATGTATCTATCTTAATTTCTATAAAAGTTTCTAATTCCTAATCCTAATATATAAAACTGATCGTCAGTAATAAAGCTTCTAAAATAAAACCCAAATACAAACTGTAAATGTACTAAGGCCAAAACCACAATTAATAGAAAGTGGGAACAATGAAATTTCTAATGTTAGCTGTATTCTTATAAAACCTTAAAGTATCATGTTTGATCATGCTTGAACTAACATAATTCCCTCATGTAGTATGACCTATTCTACAATACTTTCTATGAATAAAATAAATTCAGTTTCTATTATAAGTAGAAAAAACCTACATTAATTATAGCTAAAGAACCGGTTTAAAAGAATGCAGCCCAGCCCAAAGTGAACGCTGGGCCCTTAGGAATGTGGTCCAGCCCAAAGTTCATGCTGGGCCATTTCTGTTAACTCCAGATAATCATCTATACCATCTAAAGCTGGAAACAGCTCTCTAAATGTATATACTAATTCTACAAATATAGTTTTAAATCTTATAAAGAAGCTTGTATCATATATAAGTCTCCCAAATGTGACCTGAGCTTGAACTGTGTTGTTTAAAGCCGAAACCACAGAAATGGGAACAATGGATCCCTAGAGTCAGCCATGCCTGTCATATTTTCAGAACTTCATGCTTAGATCATCAAAGTCCCTGCTAGTGGGTCATGCCAAACAACAAAGAAGGGGGGAGGGAATGGGCCTTCAGCTCCTGAATGCAATCTGGTGGTCTCAGGGTCCACAGCCCACCTGGATCCCTAACACTCAGGCAGACCTCCACAGCGGGCTCCCAACACTATATATGTGAAGAGTGGGAGGAGAAAGGTAGTTTCCTTGACCGTTACTTGACTTTTTTAACCAGATTGCTTATATTCAGATAAAAGTAGAATTGATAATTGCTTTTATTTTGGGTAGGACAATCTAATCATAGCACTGAATGACTTCTCTCCCATTACACTCATTTTCTTTACTGTCTCTAAGCCACAATTTTATATCTGTTACATAGGAAATATAATATATGATTTTCAATGTAATGAAACTGTGAAAATGAAATTAGAAAATAGATATATAGACTGGGTGTGTTGGTTCAAGCCTATAATCCTAGTACTTTGAGAGGCCAAGTCAAGAGGATTGCCTAAGCCCAGGGGTTTGAGACCATCCTGGGCAACTTTGCAAGACCTTGTCCCTACAACAAATCAAAAAATTAGCCGGGCATGGTAGTGCACACCTGTACTTCCAGCTACTTGGAAGGCTGAGATGGAAGGATCTCCTGAGCCCAACAGGTCGAGGCTGCGGTGGCCATGAGCATGCCACTGCACTCCAGCCTAAATAACAGAGTGAGACTCCAACTCAAAAAAAGAAAAGAAAACATATATAAAGTTATTTTTAACTGCAAAGCATTCCATGATAAAGTAACCATAATAAGATAAAGTAACATTATCATATTTTTCAGTTATTGGCTATGATAATTAAAATTAACTTACCAAATATTTTATTTTAAAAATTTCCAGAGCAACTAACATTCCTTACGTGCACTGTCTTGCTATCTGTCTTGCTAAAGTTTACATAGAAAACATTCCTGATGTTGAGGACACATTTGTTTTGGAAAGTTTGTGCCTACAGGAAAATTGGCACAGAATACATTTGGCATGACTACGACTTCTGCACACTGTCAGCCAAATTTGGGGATTAATCACAATAAGAAATTGTGAGTCTTAGAAGAAGTATTTAAAGAAAAACTATAGAGAATGCAAGAAATTGCTGCCTCTAAACACATACATTGAACTGATGACAAATTCCTGATTTTGATTTTATAGTGGAATTGTGAACGGACTATGATGGAAAACTGGGTGAAGGGTGGTAATTCCTTCAAAATAAAAGAGTAAAAAAAATTTTGCTGCCTCAATAAGGATAAAGTCTGTAGCAAAAAGAGTAAGAATTGTGATCCAAATCACTGAAATCAACTAATGTGAAAGTAGAGCTAGGGAGGTTGTTCAACTTTGAGAGGACTTGCACTGCCTTCAGGGTAAACTTGAGAGAGGGGCTAAGTGGTGAGGTGAGGTGTGGTTTGCAGGTTTGCAAGCTCCATGTGGCTCTCACTTAAGCTGTGATTTTCAAGGGGGCATTACCAAATGGGTTTTCTAAGAAAGATAGTCAAATAGCACAGACTGACTGGCTAACAAGGGATAGAGAATTGGGTGGAGCACTGATATAAACACCCTTCTCCCTGGAATGAGGAGGAGGAGTAGAATAACGACAACAACAACAACATAGATAACAAGTTGAACATTTTCAATATTCAGTCTTCTGGCAACCACTGAGGTAGCAGCAAAAACTAAGCACTTTCCACAGTGAAAATCTTCAAGAACTTGCTTTAGTTGTCTGTGTCAGATCACCATGAGTCTTGTAGTTGCTCTTCTTTCCTGGAAAAGAAAAGTTGCAATAAAATCAGCTTTTTTCATAGTTTCAACAAAAGACCATTATTTTTCATCATCGTTGTTTCACGGAATTTCAATAAGTTTTTCTCTTTTTTAGCACTGGTCAACTCAGAGTATGATTTTCTGAGCATTTTTATATGCTCCACCAACTTGCAGAGCAACAAAAAAAGTTTCACTTTAAGAATTCCCCAGCCAAGTCTTTAATTCCCTCTCAAAGAGTAGCACTGGACATAAAAGTTTGATGTTGTTACTTCGATGGTATTCCTAAGCAGGAAATTAGCTGCTTCTATTCTGGTCCAAAATCCATATCCATTATGCTGTCAGCTTCATTTGAAACAAATATTTGAGTTGCCTGAGACCAATATTTTCTTTATCTATGATTTGTATTATTCTTCCACAAGTAGCAAATGATACATTATAGCCTTGTAATGTCTGTGTGATAAAGGAAGGGAATACCATTTTTGGTTCAGACACTGTGTTAGGCAACTTACACACTTCTTTGGTTTTACTCTAACACATTTTTACAGACAAGGATTATTATGTTTACTTTGCATTAATTAAATAGACGTTCAAAGGTTAGATGGTTACTCTCACAAGTAGCAGAGACAAGAACCCAACTAAAATTCACGTTCTTTTCATTGAACAAATTCTTCTCTTTATTTGCTAGAGTTGTTTAGCAGTTCAATGACTTGCCAGAAATATTTTTTGGCTAGACAGAGAGATGAAAGGATGACTAAATAAAACCATCCGATGCTTTATGGACAATACCAATCTGAGACATAGAAATGATAATAGAAATCCTTATAAAATTTATCAGCATTTCTGAGAAGCCCTTTCTCTTCTGCCAAAGAAAGATTGCTCCAATTTTTCTTTGAAGTGAAAAAAGAAACAATGTGCTCTAGTGTATCCAAAATCAGAATGAAATTCAGCCAAAGTTGAAAAATAGGTGGAGTGATACTTGGGGACTCTTCCATCTCCACACAGAGGTTACAGCTTGGCACTATCCATGTAGTCATCTGCTGGCTTGATTCTGAGCCAACTTCTAGAATTATCTCCCTTTTCCTTGGTTTTACAGTTTTAGCTGCTGGTCATGGAGAAAAATCAATATCAGAGGAGAATTCTCTTGAGGAAGTTTTGCATGTAGAACTTTGAGCCAACCAAATGAATTGAGTTCAAAAAACTCTTCATTAGTTTTGTCACTTGAAGTAAGCCATTTCCAAAAATTCCAAATTTCCTCACATGGTTGAAATGAGGCATAAAGGTAATGTAGACAAAAGGCTAAACTTACAGTAAGTGCCCATCAAGATGTAGCTACTACTAGTAGTAGTATAGCTGAATTTTTGATGTATAGGACATCTGTACTTTTTCCACCTCCACATTTTAAAAGATATATATTTAGAGGTTTGTGATTTTATTTGCCTTGTAAACCTCATAAGAGCCTAATATATATATATATTAAATTAATTTAATCATATTTATTAAAGAGAAAACTATGTAATTTTTGAATTATCCTAGCACTTGGGCTTACCTTACCTTACTTTGAAGTTTTACCTTAGTTTATTCCCTTTTGGAGATTTTTAATTCTGAAGTATACAGTGGATGTCAGTGTTGTGGACACTGGGATTCTGTATATGTATAGGACACTGTCTGTGTACCATCTTCTCCACCCACCTAATTTGGAAACAAAGGGGAAGTTTTTATGAAAGTGTTGAAAAATAATTCTTTATGGATCTCTCATGTTTCTGCACAGTTTGCAAGCAGCCCTTTGGTTGTGGTTTATTTTTTCATAATTATTTATAGAGGAATGAAAGAAGAAAGAGCTACCCTCTCTTTGCAGAACAAAGGGTAGATTTGTTTACTGTCCAGCCTGATAAAGATAATATTCCCCTTTGGGGCAAAGGTTTGCAAGTTTGCTCGCAGCCTATTGCACCAGGTTCAGGTTCCCTAAACTCAGGATACTGCATGCTCTGCCTCCAGTTGGACCCTTCTTCTACAATACCATAGAACTTAAGGAGAGGCAATGCAAACATAAAGCTCATGTTATTTGCTGAGAGTAATAAAGCCCGTTGCTTCTAATTCAGGAGTCTCTTATCTTTTGCAAAGATGAAACTGTGACAGGTTAAACTTGTGAGGTTGTGAGTAGGTAAAAAATTCTACACTCTTCACAGTTTTGACAAAGAGCACGTAAAAACACTGAAATGTGCTATTGACATCCCAGAAGATCCAGGAAACTTTTCTGATTGGGGAGCGCAGGTAGCTTAGGGAAATTTGTTGCAGAAAAGGTAATTTTTCAACTGGGTCTTGAAGGATGAGTAGAAGTGGGTCCAATGGAGAAGGCTGAGATGTGTTCCAAACAGAAGAAAGGAAGTATAGATGTGCACGTTTGTGAAAAATTGAAATGTTGGAGCCTGGATTGCAAGAGGATGGGCATGACAAGAGATAAAATTAAAAAAATAGTTTGGAAATATTTTGAGAAAAGAAAATTGATTTCTGGATTTGTTACTCTACTATTCTCACACAAATTGTCTCATTTTACTAGACAGCAACTTTCTTAGGTACATATTATTAGTCTGTTTGAAGAAACTAAGGTTTACAGAGTTTAAATAACTTCTCTAAAATTAAGTAGCTAATAAGTACTGGAAAAATAATGTAAAACTAATGTTCTTTCCATATCATCTTTCAGCCACTAAGTGAGTTTTTTATTTGTATTCTGTAATTAACATTAGAAACCATCTCTTTTGTTTTTTATTTTTCTTTTTTCCTTTTGGTTAAGATGTCCTAATCAAGTGTGTTGTAGAGGGACAATTTGGTAGCAGTACAACGTATTGGAAAGGGTTAGTCTGGCAAGAGTCAGAAGAGTTATGAGATGTAACAATATACATGAGAATTATTATTATTATTATTATTATTATTATTATTGGAGTCTCACTCTGTCGCCCAGGCTGGAGTTCAGTGGCACGTTCATGGCCACCGCAGTCTTGACCTGCTAGGCTCAGGCGATCCTTCCGCCTCAACCTTCCAAGTAGCCAGAACTACAGGCATGTGCTACCACACCCAGCTAATTTTTTGATTTATTATAGAGATGAGGACTACCCAAGTTGTCCAGGCTGGTCTCAAACCCCTGAGCTCAGGCAATCCTCTTGCATTGGCCTCCCAAAGTGCTAGGATTACAGGCTTGAGCCACTGTGCCCAGCCCTCTTGAATATTATTAAGGGACCTGGAGCCAGGTAATGGCAATTGTGATGAAGAAGACAGAATAATCAGTAGAGATTGGAAGAATAATATATTTCAGAGGTGAAATGGTTTCTTTCAAAAAGGCACAGAGGCTTCTAGCTTAGATGACTTGGTTATTTCACTAGCTGAAGTAGATAATTTTGGAGTAGGAGACACAATGAGGGATAACATTATTAAGTTTATCAAAAAGCAACAGGAGCTGGAGAGGATGGAAAGAAAAAGAACAGTTCTTCACTGTTGGTGGGAGTGTAAACTAGTACAACCTCTGTGAAAAACAGTGTGGTGATTCCTACAAGTTCTAAAAATTGACCTTCCATATAGCCCAGCAATCCCCCTTCTGGAAATATGCCCAGAGGAACTCAAATCACTCTGTGAAAAAGACACCTGCACATGCATGTTTATTGCAGCATTTTTTTTAATCAATATTTTTTATTATGATTTTGTGGGGTACAGTTAGGGGTTAGATGTACAATTACATTTCATTCAGGCACCCTGTTGATAAGAAGTGTTTCCCCATCCCCAGACAGATATTTGCAACTGTTAATCCCATCCCCCCCCATAGTTTCCCAGTACTGTCAGTCATTTACTTATAGTATTACATTGGATGTTCAAGGTCCATTATATGAGTGAGAACATGTGATACTCAGATCTTTGTTTCTGTGAGAGATCACTCAGTATTATAGACTCTAGTTCCACCCAGGTTGCTGCGAAATTCATGATGTTGTTCTTTTTTATGGCTGCATAGTATTCCATCGTGTATGTGTACTACATTTTTTTAATCCAGTCCTCTTTTGATGTTGCTTCCAGGTTCTTGCTATTGTGAACAATACTGCAATAAACATACGTGTGCAGGTATCTTTTTGATAGAGTGATTTGAGTTCTTCAGGGTATAATCCCAGTAGGGGGATTGTGGGGTCATATGGAAAGTCGATTTTTAGAGCTTTTAGGAATCGCCACACTGCTTTCCACAGAGGTTGCACTAGTTTACACTCCCACCAACAGTGTAAAAGTGTTCCCTTTTCACCACACCCTCTCCATCAGCTGTTATTTTTTGAGTTGTTGATAATTGCCATTCTGACTGGAGTTAGGTGATATCTCAGTGTGGTTTTGATTTGCATCTCCCTGATGATTAGTGAGGTTGAGCATTTCTTCATGTGTCTGTTGGCTGCTCGGATGTCTTCTTTTGTGAAGTGTCTGTTCATATCTTTTGCCCATTTTATAATGGGGTTGTTTGTTTTTTTCTTTTCAGCACATTCGAGTTCCTTGTAGATCCAGGATGTTAAGCCTTTGTCAGACTAGGTGTTGGCAAATACTTTTTCCCAGTCTGTGGGCTGTCTCCCTGCTCTCTTGATGGTTTCTTTGGCTTTGCAGAAGCCTGTCAGTTTAATAAGGTCCCACTTGTCTATCTTCTCTCTTATGACCTGTGGTTTTCAGGTTTTGTTCAGGAATTTGATGCCAGTTCCGATTTTCATGAGGGTATTTCCTTCATTCTCTAAGGTTCTTATGGTTTGAGGTTTTACATTTAGGTCTCTGAACCATTTGGAGTTAACCTTTGTGCATGGGGATAGATAGGGATCCTGTTTCAATCTTTTGCATGTGGTCAGCCAGTTTTACCAGCACCATTTACTGAATAGGTTCTCCTCTCCCCAGTGGTAGGTGGTGGGGGATTTGTCAAAGATGAGTTGGTTGAGAAATTGAGGTTATGCTCCTAGAATCTCAATTCTGTTCCATTGATCTATATGCCTGTTCCT